TGTATGTTTAACGGCTCTACATCCTGTCTCCATCTGTTCTCCCCACAAGGTGACGCTGACCTAGCAGCTCTAGCATTACAGCGGCCCAGTCTGTCACCCTCTCAGGTGTCAGATAGAGTTACTCTCCTGGGACACAGTCTCTAGCTGAATGGGTAGGTGAGGAAGCTTCTGAGAAAGGTTTATGGCTATCCACTGGGGAATTCTGTTGTTGAAAGAGAGCTGCACGAAAGCTACAGACATATGGTGGCTTAGACTGAGGTTGACAGGTTAGGGCCAACCTCAATCACACAGGGACGGCTGTGTGACACTGAATATTTGGGTTTTATGGCAATGTCTGCCCACTTTGCAGACATGGCACTAGTAGGACTTTTAATATTTATCTTTTCGAAAATGTAGCCAAACCTAAAAGATATGTGTACTAAAGGGGCAATATTATATATATTCCAGCCACATGGTGCAATTTTATATCACAATAACGTAAATGTGTTACCTTCAGTTGTTACAAAATGCTGTATACATAAAATATTACATAAAATAAATTTTACTTTGTAATTTACCACCTTGAAGTTGGGTCTCTGTCTCTTTAAAAACTCTTTTTATTTTTTTTCAAAAACGCTTTTTCTGAAACAACAAAACTCCAGGAAGTCGGTACAACATGGCTCATGTATTAGCCCTTTAGCAAAGTTTTTACATCATTTCACTGCTATAATGAGCTCAGCAGATGCACAGTTCCACCAGGTGTTTGCTAATTGCTGCTGGCTAGTCTGAAGGAGCTGATTGGGGAGGCAGCAGGACAGAGCTGCTCTGCGAGGAGGAAGTTGGGAAAACCTGTAGGTCTGCCATGGCTCGACCAATCACAGTAGGGTTTGGTAAAGTCCTATCCCTATAGCAGGGGTCACCAACTCCAGTCCTCAAGGGCTACCATCCTGCAACTTTTAGATTTACCTCTGCTCCAAAATGTCTGAATTCCCTCTACCAACATTCATTCCTCTCTGCAATAGGCTGGAAACGAGCAGTTTATTTGATCCAGGTGTGTTTGAGCAGAGACGCATCTAAAAGTTACAGGATGGTAGCCCTCGAGGACTGGAGTTGGTGACCCCTGCCCTATAGGTTGCTCATTACCTGAGGAGTGTTGACCTAGCAGTGTGGCAGCCGTCCCTGCGGTCTCCTGCTTCATGTTGTTGCGACAGTGGCAGCTCCAGCGACAAGCCATTGACCCGTTCAGACTCACACTCCAGGTCTGCCTCAGAGACGACTGACAGACCGTCTGCAAGGCAGTTTGAGACATCATGGCGCTAACTTCCACATCAGGGGTGGCCGATGTGGACTAATAATCTATCTTGTGGTACTATTGTGATGATAATAAAAATAATGTTTGAAAAGCCATTTACTACTTCTTGTAGCGGGTTATTATTCACAGCACCACAAACAAGAACTGTTCAAGAAAAATATTTCCATTTGAAACAGGCTTCTTGAGGACAGTGTTTAGTTAAAGAAGTGTGATTTATAACTGTATTTCATCAGATTTTCAAATTTACTAATATTTACTGATGCTCTTATGGATAATAGTATCAGTTTTGTTTTGTTTCTTTAAGTCATTCATTGAAATTTATCGAGACAACAATAAATCATCATTTGTATTGTGATAAGAATTTTTTCACGATAAGTGATAATACGATTAAAAGCTCATCCCTACTCAGGTAGCCTGAAGCGTTACCTTGTTGGGTGTTGATTGATTCATCATTGACCTTGTTTTGATTCCCATCTGAAACAGAAGCCACCTGAAGTACCTGGGTGGAAAACACACACACACACACACAAACACACGCACACTAGATCATGCCTGCAGGGAGCTATGAAAAAATAATAATATACAGCCATCAGTCTGCAGCTTATCAATCAACTGATCTGATCAATTATGAAGGTCCAAAAATACAACAAATTCAATGTTTTCATTCTATCACCTCAATAAAAAAACACAAACTGCCTCTGCTGAGTCTGTATGCCAGCTGTTGTTGCATTGATACTCACCAGCTGAGCAAAGGTCGTCACCTTTAACCTCTTGAAGATTTCGCCTTTTCGATACCTGTAGTCTTAAATAGAGGAGGACAAAGAAACATAATAAAAAAAATGTGTCTAGTAAATTGTAAAGATTTAATGACTCAGCTTTAATGTAAACATAAAAAAGAAAACAAAAAAAACATGTTTTTGGATATCAAAATGTGGTTTCTTACTTTTTCTCATCTCCTCCAGTCTTTCTATGTACTTTGTTTTGCTCCATCCTGTAGATGACAGCAGCATCATGGAGAGAATAAAAGAAGAAAGCCATCAATGTTTCTGAGAGGAGAAGCAACAGAAAATGCAGAGTTGCTTTACAAAAAAGCCTCTCTTTCAATTCTTGGGTGTAATATGGAAGCCCATTCCTGCCATGAAAGAAAAAATAAGTCCCTCAGGAAGTAATAATTGCAAGAAAAAAAAAAAAGTCACAATCAACTTTCAATGTCTTAAATGTTTCATACAAAGCTATAATTTTGAGAAAGAAATAATTATGAAATTCAAAATCAAAATGACAGAAACTCATTATTATGAGATTGAACATCATAATTATGAGATTTAAGTCATAATTATGAAATCAAACATAATGATTCTGAGACAGAAAGTCATAACTAGAAAGTTATAATTACAAGTTATAATTACAAGATTCAGCATCATTACATAATTATAGTGATATTTATGCGATAATGATGCATTTCTGTGGGAAATTATTTCAAACTTAAATAATTTAGAATTGTTTCTTTCTGAAATAAATCTAAATTATGACTTATTTAAATTTGATATATAAAGTATATCATAATAAATTAAATATTATCATTTATTATTGTTATTATGACTTTAAAGCTCTTAATTTTGACTTTCTGTTCGACTTTTATTTTTTCTTTCATGAAAGAAACAGGCTTCCACAGTTTTATATCTCAGGAAATGATATATAAAATTTGGTCTTTATCAGGTTCACAATATCTTTTCAATTTAACCATAAGAGCACACCACAAATTTGTGCCACTTCTTTTAATCAAATCAAATAAAGACAAAACCTAAAGCTGGACAGAAAGTTAAATTAAGTTCCATATAAGTGGGGAAAGTAGCAGCAAGGCGTTGCTAAAGAAATGCAACAGATTATTGATCATCAATGTGTGTGACAACCCCATTAAAAGGAGACGTTTGACAGTCTGGGGAAAGCAGGTGTGTTAACACAGGGAAGAACGTCTAGGCAGATTCACTACAGAGTCAGAAGGTGCAGTGCTCAAAATATAGCAAAAAAGGACAAAGAGGTACAAACAAAAAATATAAAAAAGAGCAAATGAGAGGCAATCTGCCTAAAAACTGAATTGTGACCAAAACTGCTTTTATTACAAAGCCAATGATTCCAAGTACAGCACCATAGTTAACCATGACGCTTAAAAAGAAAATAATCAGGGGCACACAGCGGCCCAGTCAAAGTAAAGGACTAATATGGCAGAAATAAAGTTCAGGGATGAAATGAATATCTGCAAACTGTAAAGACAGAAAAATTCCAAAATTCTGCCAGAACACCGAACACCATCTAGTTAGTGTTGTTGCACTGAAGATTTATAATTTTGTTTGTTTTGTTAACTAAAAAAATATAATACGAATATAATACGGATATGTTGTGTTAAAGTTGGAGTACAAAAATTCAAAAATATCTAATAAATATATTTTTATGTTGTCCTTATTCTTTTGATAGCGAATTAGATTTTTTTTTTTTACCACAACATATCATTCTGCATTCTGCATCTGAAATGGTTAACATACCTGTGTCCAGCCTGGTTTTGACATGGGCATACTTTTCATTTTTGGGTATCCTTTTCTTCATGTACTGTGTAAAGGAGAGAAGTGAGCTGTTTAATATCTTACATTAGCTACAAAACATTAAATCAGAGCATTTTGGGGAGAAACCCAGCTGCTTATTAAATATGATCAAGCTAACGGTGAGCTACCGTTGATATGGAAACATAACCTAGCTAACTTGTTAGCATGCTTGCTTCGCTACGTTATGTTTTTTCCAGTTCGCCGCTATAATTGCGGTGTGGGCGAGAGATTTAACTGAGAGGTCTATGCTTGTTTGTTTAATTAAAAAAACAAGTAACCTGCATTTACTGACTTTACCTCGTTTTTGCCAATGCCCCGAGTCAGCGACATATTTTCAAATCGAAATACTAAACAGCAACTTCCACCTTCAGTAAAGCCAATGTTGATTCGCTACAAATCATCCAGGAGCCAATCACAGCATTGCTTTCTCCGCGGAGCCGTCTGACCAGTTGCTAAGCAGCGAAAGACGCTCCACCTTTATGACGTGCGGCATTCAAGTCGCCTCGGTCTCTAAGGTTCATCGTTTTCAACAATGATTTTACACAATTAATATTTTCAAAACTAGTTAATTAACTTTGTAACTTGGTACCATGATAAAATCAATACAAATATTATCATAAAAAGATTATGTATATCACTTATTTCAACCAAAGAACACGAAGCATTAGGAAGACAGGGCGCCTGTTTTTTCTCTATTAGAAAACTCATTTTTGATTGTATATTTTATTTAGTGACACAATATTAATTTTAGGTGCGTGTATTCTAGTTAAATCACCAGAGAACTAAAAATAACAATTAAATACATCTTTTGATATATCTTTATATGTCTTTCGATCTTCAATAATTATTTAAAGAATCTAAATTAATGAGTTACAATTTAATTTCCCTTTGGGATTAATAAAGTACATTTGAATTTAATTGATATTTTTTTTATTGAAAGAACCTAAGAAACAGTGTTAAAAATATTAGTACAATTAACTGACGATACAAGGGCTGTCAACGTATTTTTAAGTAAAACTAAAGACTTCAGTTTTGCGCAATTAAATGTTTTGCTGGGGCACGGAAATTTCCCACTTTGAAATAGATACTGCGAACGAATCTTTTCAACTAAATCGACATAAAGCAGCCCGGTGCCAGGCCGCTTATTTTGGATTTAAATCTATGATTTGAGAGGGAAAACAAGAATTTTGTAACACATGAAAAGTCTTTACATTCTCCATGTGTCAGTGCGAAGATTCCTTGACTCGCCTTTAAAAGCATCACGTTTCTCCTTCTCTGGACTCGACCTGTCAGGTCTGACGCGGTCATTGTGGGCGCTGCGTTGACAGTCATGGAGGAGCAGTGCAGCGGGTCTGTTCAAATCACCAGATAACGTCAGTTCGCTCTGTTATTGTCTAAAATGGGATCTGTTCTGGTGAGTGGCCCTATTTGGGTGTGTTTTTGTCAGGTTGGTGAGCAGTTAGGACAGACACGGAGAACTCTCGCCGGTGGCGGGCAGGAAGTTTGCTAGCTCTGTCAACGCTAAGAGGATTTCCAGAAAGGAGTTGTCAGGAACATCTTTATAAGTCCATGGAACTCCGCTTTTACTTTCTCGTGCATGACAATCACTTTAATGTGACCGATATGAACGCGACAATGGTGTTTGTTTGAAAACAAACACCATGTTATGAATTAAAATAGTGTTAACACAAGAAGGCTGAACAGCACAGCTGGGTGTGAAGTAAAGCAAACTATAATTGGTTTATATTTGGCCTGACGGTTTAACTATGAGCTGCAGATATTCTATCAATCCTTGAATAACACTTTCTCTATAGATTTAATATCTATACATAAAACTGACAGGTGTTCAGAGTAGTTTAATGGGAAGAATGCCAATTACAGAGTATGATGCCACCACCGCCATGCTTCAGTGAGAGCAGGGTGTTCACACATTGGTGTTTCTGCTGTGCCAAACATATATTTTGGAATTGTAGGCTAGAAGTTTAAGTCCGTAACACGTTTTTAAACAAAGTTTTGGGAGATATTAGGCAGGTCTGGACTCAGTATTGGTTTAAAGTTGTGAATACTTATCCAATCAGATTATTGCTGTTTTTGAATTAAGATTTTTGTTTATTTGTTTTTCTGTTGAATTATACAAAGAAAATCTGGGCCAAAATAAAAAAAAATAATGTTGTCATTCTTTAAGTCCCTGAGACTTGATTTTGAACACTGGTGTGTACACTTTTGAGTGAAACGGTACATCGCTGAACCGGGGAAATGCAAATTTTAATAAAGAAAGGGGAAAACTAGTCAGAATTTGATATTTCTGTCCCTGGTCTTTGTCTTCACAGGACGATCCGTTTCTAGAGAGACACTTCAGGGGACATAAAGATGCTGTGACCTGTGCAGACTTCAATCCAAACCAAAACCAGCTGGGTAAATGCTAATACATTTACGTGCTTTACTGTATTCAAGTTTAATTCATTTTTTTATCTCTGTCTATAGTGTGGTTGATGGAAAATAATTTACCACAGGATAGCATGGTACTCAAGTGGTATTCATTGAATCTAATTATATTATGCTCAAGTACTATTCAATAGTATTTTACATAAGGGTTGTCCAAAGTGTGGCACGTGGCCATTTGTATCCCTAGGAATGATTTTGTGTGGCCCTCAACCACAGTTCAAGAATGGCATAAATTTGATTTGGCAGCTCCGACAGCTTATGGAGACACAAAAATGTTAAGGTGCAGTTTTAAGGATGGGAGACTTTTCAAGAAAAGATAGGTGAATTTTAAAAATTCCTTAAATGTGAAATGTAAATTGTAGTCTATTACCAATCACATTTGTCCTTTCAATGTAATTTGACAATAAATAGGACCACAAACAGACGTGGGCACCCCCATTTATTAAACATGGCTAAATGAAGTAAGAGTGAGAGAGACCCTTTTCATTGTTCTGATGACTTACAGATACATTTTCTACAGAAATCGGACTGCTTTGTTTTGTTAAAATATAGTGTTTTTAGTTTATTGTTGAGAAGGTAAAAAGAAAAAATAGTTTTTTGCAATGTTACAAATGAGTATTATAATTCAGTTTTTACTTTCAGCTTGAAATTTTCGTCCCCCATGACAAATAGTCTGGACACCACCGCTCTATGTAGCAAACTGTCCATGGTTTATCACATTCTGAAATGCTTTCATGCATCTTCATGTGTGGAATGGAACGATGGTGAGAAGTCGTTTAGAAAAAAAATAAATAAAAAAATCAAAACTTTAAAGACTCCCCCACTCACCTCCTTCAGATTAGCCAGCAGCATATTTTAAAGTCATATTTTATATATTTTTATAACAACTGAAGGTAAAAGTTATTTGATTTTGCTACAATGTATCATTATAAGCCTGGAAAATACTTAGTACTGCCCCTTTAATTAACTGATCATCAATTACTTTGCTCACCTGTTTAAATGATGGAGTTTTTTTAATTTTCCCACAAAGTTCTGGATATTCTGGAAAAGTATGCAATTTGCTTTCATCAGTTTGCAAGTCTGAAGTGGCCACCTGATGTTTGTGGTTAATTTGTTTTGTCAGCTTTGTCTTATATTTTTAAAGCATAGTTAAATTCCCCAGGTTGAGTTAATTTTTTATGAACTCTCAAAACATATCCAGGTTATAACGCTGACTGTTTTCTTCAAAGCTTTGTATATCTGTGCGAATATTTTCCCGATTACGATTTCTGTTGTTCTTCCTCTAGCTACAGGATCAGTGGATAGGACCCTGATGATCTGGAACCTGGCCCCAAAGGCGAGGGCCTTTCGTTTTGTCGGGCACCAGGACACCGTCACGGGGCTGCAGTTCTCCCCGTCCGGGCGTCTGCTGGCTTCTTCGTCCAAAGACAGAACGGTTCGATTGTGGACACTTTCCTTGTAAGCCAGATAGCTGACGATTTTATCTGCACAGTTTTTGTTTCTCACATTTAGAATGGGGATCTAAAACCTTGGTACATGAATGTTCAATTTGGACTTTAAAGCAGATTTGACTTGAACTGTTTGTGTGTTTGGGATAGAAAAGGAGAGTCCTCGGTGTTGAAAGGCCACACCGCCGCGGTACGCAGTGTGTCTTTCTCCCATGATGGCTACAGCCTGGTCACTGCGTCTGATGACAAGTCGGTTATAGTGTGGAGCGTCCCACGGCGGTGTTACGTCTACTCCCTCAGCCAGCACACCAACTGGGTCCGCTGTGCCAGGTATGGAAGTGTCGACCTCTTAAGCCTCTTCTCCGTTGTTCATGCCTGGTTGGGTTTTAGCCGAGTTGACTGTGTCTCCACTGACGGTGTGTTCCTCACTTTTCATAGCCGTGTTTCCATTACAAATGTGTGCAACTTTGTCAATATTCTGCTAATGTTGAACAAA